GAGCATAGCCATAGATAAAAATAAAGTAGCTGCCGTGATGTTGAAACCTATGCCCACTAATGTTAAAGAAATACAGTCATTCCTTGGTTTTGCTAGTTATTACAGACAACATATAAAAGATTTTGCCAAAGTAACTGGATGTCTATATAAATTAAGTAGCCCAAACACCTCCTTTGAGATGACAGTAGACAGAGTAGCTGCATTCAATAAATTACGTGAACTACTTACTTCTGCTCCCATATTATTTATGCCTAATCCAAATAAGCCTTATAAATTATATGTAGATGCTAGTATGGAAGGATTAGGAGCTGCCTTACACCAAATTCAAGATCAAGAAATACCAAAAGAAGGAGTCATTTGTTATATTTCTAGAACTTTGAAAGACAGTGAGAAAAAATACGGTGCCAGTCAACTTGAATGCTTATGCTTAGTCTGGGCCCTAGATAAATTATATTATTACCTTGATGGATGTGAATTTGAAGTAATTACTGATTGTACAGCCCTCAAAAGTTTATTAAGTATGAAAACTCCAAATAGACACATGCTCAGATGGCAAATAGCTATTCAAGAATGGAGAGGAAGTATGACTATTAAACATAGAGAAGGTAATATACATAAAAATGCGGATGGACTTAGTAGATGGTCATTGGAAAATATACCAGAGAACCCAGCCTGGGACGGAGAAATTGCTGCAAAAATTATGAGTTTATTCCCAGAGGAAAATAATGAAAATAATCCTGCCTTTGATGATAACACTGATGATATTAATATTTGTGGGTTACACGTAACTGAAATGCAAGAAGAATTTTGGGATGAAATTAGAATTAGTTATGACCAAAATAAAAATTGCTCCACAATTAAAAATATCTTACAAAGTAATTTCAAAAATAATGATCTGATAAATTCATTGGAAGAACCATGGCTTAGTTCATTTAAAGAAAATAGATTCTCTCTGTTAGATGGATTAATTTACCACAGAATTAAACATACAAGTGTAGTAGTTATTTGTCTAAAAGAACACATTAATTTATTTTTGAAAGAATGTCACGACAATATCTCTTCAGCTCATTTTTCCTTCGACAGAACAATTGAGAGAGTTAAACAAATTGCTTGGTGGCCTAATTTTAAGAATGATACTAAAGATTATTGTGAATCTTGTGACAGATGTCAAAAAGCAAATAAAGCTACAGGAAAAAGATATGGATTATTACAAGAAATTGAAGAACCCAAAGAAAGATGGTCTGTCATTAACATGGATTTTGTTACTGGATTACCACCTGGAGGACCTAACAATTTTAATGCAATTTTAGTGGTAGTTGATAGATTTTCCAAAAGAGCAAGATTTCTACCGTGTCATAAAGAAGATACAGCAATGGATACTGCATTATTATTTTGGAATTCTATCATTTATGATGTTGGGTGTCCCAGATATATCATTACAGATAGAGACCCTAAATTTACGTCAGAATTTTGGAGAAATTTATATGATTTATGTGGGACCCAACTAAAAT